GGCCGTAGTGGCCATTAGGGGAGTGAACCAACGGAAGGAAGACCTTTCTCTCTGTCTCTACCTCTCACTGTCTATTACTCTACCTGTCAAATAATAATAAAAAAAAAGACAAGATTTATTAGACAGGACTAGGGCAGTGTTTCGGGCTAATTTTTCTCCAAACCTGCATCCAAGGATAAAGGCTAGGTTGTAAAGGTTGTTGGAAAGATGGAGGAGGGGAAATGAATGGAATAGGAGAATGAAATAAGAAAGAATTAATCTGCTGTAACCAGAAGTGTAACAGGCAATGTCCAAACTAACAAATCAAGCAAAATAGCGTAAAATGCTACTTTCAAGAAATATGAAACTAAACAAAATGTAAAAAGTTGAAAGTGTTACCTCTAGGAGGAAATGAAGAGAAGGTATGAAATGGTGTGGGGAGTCTGATGTTTGTTCTTGTAACTTTCCTAATGCTATATGCTTACATTTTTAGAACCATGTGTATTCCTTTATTTTTATTGACATTAAGTAGAATCCTATAACACTTTTCCTTTTGTGTCTGCTAATTTCACTAAACATAATGTCTTAAGTGTCATCCATGTTGTAACATGGGTGAGAATTTCTTTCCTTTTTCAGGCTGAATTATATTTTATTGTATGCATATATCACCTTTTGTTTATGCATCTGCTGCTGGACATGTTGATTGATTGTTTTATCTTTTATTGCTGTGAATAATGCTTCCATGAACATTGCTGTGTGAGCATCTGTGAAGAGTGTATGCTTTTAATTTTTTGGTTATATATATATATACACACACACACACACACACAGAGGTGGAATTGCTGCGTTGTGCAGTAATTCTGTGTTTAACTTTGAGGAATTGCACCAGTTTACATTCCTACCAGCAATGCACAAGATTTCCAATGTCTCCACATCCCGGCCAATATGTGGTATTCTCTGATTTTTGTCATTCTGTTTGTTTATAGCCATCCTACTGGGTGTGACATTGTGGTTTGGATTGCATTCTCCTAATGATTTATCATGGTAAACATTTGATAGCCTTATTCCCATTTGTACATTCTCTTTAGATAAATGAACATTCAAGTCTTTTACTCATTTTTAATTTGTGTTGTTTGTTTATTATTTTTCAGTAAAACAAAGAATTAATGTCAAAAGCAAGATCTAGGAGCCAGCCTTGTGGTGTAGTGGATAAGGCTACCACCTGCAGCGCAGTGCCACTATCCCATATTGCCAGCAGTTCGAGTCGTGGCTGTTCCACTTCCCATCCAGCTCCCTGCTAATGGCCTGGGAAAAGCAATGGAAGACAGCTGCAGTGCTTAGGTCCCTGCTACCCACATGGAAGGCCAGGATGAAGCTCTAGGCTTCTGGCTTCAGCCTGGCTCAGCCTTGTCTGTTGTGGCCACTGGGATAGTGAACCAGCAGATGAAAGACCTCTCTCTCTCTGTAAATCTGACTTTCAAATAAATCTTCTTTTTTTAAATTATTTTTTAAAGGGGTGGGTGGTTCTGTGGCATAGCAGGTAAAGCCACCACTTGAGGCACTGACATCCCAAATGGGCACTGGTTCAAGATCCAGCTGCTCCACTTCAATCCAGCTCCATGCTAATGTGCCTGGGAAAGCAGTAGAAAATGGCCCAAGTTCTTGGGCCCCTGCACCTGCGTGGGAAACCCAGAAGAAGCTCTTGGTTCCTGGCTTCAGATCGACCCAGCTCTGGCCATTGTGGCCATTGAAGAAGCAGATGGAAGATCTTCTCTCCCTGTCTCTCCCTCACTCTTTCTCTCTCTCAGTAACTCTGCCCTTCACATAATAAAAATAAATTCTCTTTTTCAAAAAAGATCCAAATGCCAGCAGGGTCCTTAGATGGGTTCTTAAAAAGAAAGCATGGCAGCACCTGATATTGCCACAGACAACGCTGAAGTCTCAGGCATATCCAGGCAAAACCAGTGTTTCACTATCAGTTCCACAAAATGTGTGCGTCCCCTTGTGGGGCCTCCCTACCCTTCCAATACTCCTTATTTGTTGTTTTTCCATAGCCACCAGCACTCTCTCCTGACTTGGAGCTGAGAGATAGTGCTTCCTACCAGGAAAAAAAATGGAAAGATGTATTTATTTATTTGAAAAACAGAGTTACAGAGAACAGAGGCAGAGAGAGGTAGAGACAGAGAGAGAGGTCTTCCATTTGCTGGGTCACTCCCCAAATGGCTGCAACCACTGGAGCTGCACCAATACAAAGCCAGAGCCAGGAGCTTCTTCAGAGTCTCCTACGTGGGTGCAGGGGCCCAAGGACTTGGGCCATCTTCCATTGCTTTCCCAGACCATAGCAGAGAGCTGTATGCAAAGTGAACAGCTGGGACTAGAACCTGCGCCCATATGGGATGCCGGTGCCTCAGGCCAGGGTGTTAACCCACTGTGCCACAGCACTGGCCCCCAGGCTTAACATTCTAGGCCACAGCCTCAGCCCAGAGCAACTACTCTTTTGACTTTATACCTGGGGCTCAGATTTAAGTGCACATTTTGTCTTCTCTGGGCACTGTATCTGATGTCTCTGCAATAATTTTTTTGTCTTCTCTTAGGTGTTAGCAGAGACTACTGATAGAGATTCTTGTCTTTGCACAAGAAAGAATTCAGGCATGAGACAGAGAGTAGCGGTGAGCAAGGTTGCAAGGTTTCATGGGGTAGGGCATCCATTAGAGCCGACGGGCACCTCTCCAAATAGAATTGGAGAGAGACTGTGCAGCCATTCAGACTGGAGTAAGTACGGTTACATGGCTTAATGGAGAGAAAACACCTGACAGACCCAGCATGCATCTTAGCAAAGATGTGAGAGCTGAGGGCTGAGATCACCTGTGAGACCAGGCAGGCATCTCATAAAGTGCTGAGCGCACCTTGCAATATGCAGATTGGGCTTACTAGGGAACAGAGTCCAGGTCTTCCTGCAGTTCTTCCCCCCCACCCTCTTCTCCTAGACAAAGGGTTTGCTGGGTGTCAAACAGGTAAAATTCTTCCCAAGGCTTTATTAACCAGTTATCAGATTGAGTAGCCCACCTGGCACCAGGCAAAAGGAATTATCCTGGGGTGCTTTCCTGGGGGGAAGGCTGGGACCACCTTTACAGTTATTGGGGTATGGGCACAACTTTGCAGTGTAAAATTCTAGCCTACTTCCCAGGCTGCTAGAAGCTGCTACATTCCTTTCTACAGGTGCTTTGTTTTCCTTCAGGCCTTTTTACACACATAGGCTAATTCCTAACTTCCTATCTAACCAAGGGACTATAATTTATATTCTCTGCCAATCATAAAAACTACTGATATGTTGTAGGACAGAGGATCAGGGTACATGCTCTGGACTCAGAACTACCTGGGTTTCCATCCCTTGCTAGCTGGGTCCCCTTGACAAATCCCCTAACCGCTTTCTTCTTTGGCTTCTCCATCTCTAAAATGGTACCTCATTAGTGTGTGCAGAAATTTCAAATACTTACCTAGCACCCGCAGCATCGCCTGGTAGGAGGTAAATGTTTACAAACTTGAGGCTCTTTGAAATAATCACTATCATGGCACAGAGTGCCCAGAAGCGAGGCCGATGAGAGGATGTTAATCTCTAACTTGTCTCTCTTTGAATTTATTGCTTTAAGAGGAAATATTTATTTGAAAAGGATAACAACAGAGAGAAGGAAAGAGATCTTCCATCCACTGGTTCACTCCCCAGATGCCTGCAACAGCCAGGGATGGTCCAAGCCAAGCCAAAGCCAGGAGCCTGGAACTTCATCCAGGTCTCCCATTGGGATGGAAAGTCCCAAGTACTGGAGCCATCACTTTCTGCCTCGCAGGCGCATTAGCAGGAAGCGGATCAGAAGCACAGATTAGCCCTGACGGCAACAAGGAGCTCTGACATGGCACGCGGCTCTCCCTAGGTAGCTTAACTGTGCCATAACGCCCTCCCCGAATGTGTTACTTTTTATCAAAAATAAAATGACGAAAAATAAATAATAAATAAAATGTCATGTAGCTAAGAGGATATGAAAAGACCTCTCCCAAACTTCCACTAAAACAGCTAAGATACAGAGAGGTGTTTTTTTGTTTTTTTTTTTTTTTTTTTATTGCTACCTAAACATTTAAAACTGATGTCAATCTCCGGCTTGAAACAGAACTTTCCGGAACCTAGAGTTCAACAGCTGCTCAGGGAGATGGCATCAGCAACCCTCTCCTCCAAACAGCCGTAAAGATCTTTTCTTCAAATCACCAGAATTTACAATTCCAGGCCAGTCCCAGCAGGGACGCCAAGACCCTTTCGTTCACAGCGAATTTGCCGGTTTCTTCCGAGGAGGGCATTGGTGGGCAACTACTCTGGCGCGCTAGAACCCTGTTTGCCCCTCTTCCAGAATAAACTACAACTCCCAGAAGGCCCCTGTGCAGGCGGTGGGAGGGCGGGAGGGCGCGTCTGATAGGGAGCGCGGTCTGCGTCCCGCCCACCCCGCCCTCACGTGATTCTACTGTCTGAGCGTGAGGTGTTGGCGCCGGGTCCAGGGCCCCGGAGATCTCGCCTTAGCGCCGGTGTAGTCCAGAACGGTGACGCCAGGCTGTAGAGTAGCAGGTCGCTGGCAGTGCGGCGGGACCCGCGCACTCACGACAGCCAGGCTGGCCCTCGAGTCCCCACGGGAACACGCCGAGCCGAGCGTGCCGCGCGGGCAGAGTCCGCTTCCACCGTGGCACCTGGGCGGGAGGCGCTGCCGTCGTGCGCTGGGGTAACTGTGGCTGCGTGTCCTCCTCACCCGTGTCGGAAACTGGGCCTCGCAGGTGCATGGGGAGAAGCCTCAAATACGGCATCAAAATTGGTGCACCTGCGCGTTGAGTATACGGGTAGCTGCTCTGTCTTCTAGACGTTTCTGCACTTTACCAACTAACAAAAAAATGTCACACTTAATCACCATGTTCTGGAGCCGGACCCTCGGCGGCTTCCCTCGAGTCCGCGGTTGGAGCCCCGGGGGCAGCCTGACCGCCGGGTCCGCAAATCCAGAGCGAGGCCCAGGCCACCTACTACCCTCGGGGCACGCCCTCCCTCGGGGCACGCGCTCCGGCCCCGCCCGGCCGCCCCTTTCATTCAGAAAGCCCTCAGCGATCACGTGAAAGAGGCGTGCGGGCCGCGTGGCGTCACGAGGCTCGGACCAATCGGAAGCTCTGTTTATGTCGGGGAGGGGGGCGGGCAGCGGACTCTTCTCGCCCCCTCCCCTCCCGCCCTCGCCTCCGCCTCCCGCTCTCGGGCTCTGGCTGCCGGGAGATCGCTGAGCCAGGGCGGGCGGCGGCGCGGCGGGAGCGCCGCGGGGAGGGTTGCGCCGGCGGCTCGTCTCACCGCCCCCGGGGCGCCCTGCGTCTCCCATCCGGGACCGAAGCCGTCGGCCGTAGCGGGCGGCCGGATCCGCGTCCCGCCTCGGCGCCGAGAGGACATGCGGGAGAGAGAATGAGCCAGAGGGACACGCTGGTGCATCTGTTTGCTGGGGGGTACGTCCCCGCGACGCGCGCGGGCTGGGGCTGAGGGCCGCGGCCAGAGGCTGGGGGGCACCGTGAGGAGGCTGCAGCCCGAGAGGGGTGAGGGGGTGAAGCCCGCCCGGTGGGGCCGACGGAGCCGGGGGCTGCGGATCCGCAGACGGGAGCAGGCCCCGCGGCGCGGCCTAGCGGGTGTCCGGGATGCGGGGCCGCGGCGAGGAGCCGAGCCTGGCTGCAGGCCTAGGCTAGGTTGCAGGGGCCCCGGCGTGCCGGCGGGAAGTGCGGAGGCCGAGGACAAAATGGGCGCCGGCGCCTCCGCCTTCTCGCTGCCGCGCAGGCCGGGGCCTCACGTCGCTCACGCCCCACCTCGGACCTCGGGCTGCCGGTTTCCGGGCCGGGCTCTGCCGGGGCGGGTGCCCAGGGGGCTTCGGTGGGTTGTTTGCAGCTCTTGGAAGATTTCCCTCCTGGTTGCGAGAGGCGGTGCAAAGCGGGAGTGCCTTAGGAAAGTCAGATCTTTTCGTGAAAACCAGCGCTGCCTTGCACACCGCCTGCTTTTCTGCAACTCAGAGGAGAAAGTGGGGGTGGGGAGAGGTCAGATGCTTTGAAGATCGTTCCTGTGTGTGGACCAGACTGGAACTGAAACCCCCGCTCGCCGAATGCCAGCCCGAGTACTACAGTACTATTTTGCTGAGCCAATGTAATCTTACCTTTAGATTTTTTTTTCCTCCAAATTTGGAAGATCGTAGCAATTTTATGAGTTATTTATAGGATTTAAAAAGTTGTCTTATCAAAAACGACGAAGGGGAATCAATGCTGAGACACCTTTTTTGAACCATAGAGTAGCGTCTCCTTAAACCCTAGTTTGTTCTTAGATAAACAGTATTAACGATATTGAAGAAATCCATATGCAGTTCTGTTCACGGTGTCTTGCTTTGCATTTATCGTGGTGCCAATACTTTCCTTATCTGGTGGGAACACACTGATTGAAAAACATTGTAAATCAGTTAGGGGCCAGCCATAGTTTTAGAATAAATTCCATTAATCCGTGAGATCCAGTTTAGGCAAAGTTTGCTTTCAATATTTCTGGAAGGCTTACTGCCAATAATTGTTTTTTAAATACAGAAGCTATGTAGATGTTCTTGAAAAGTAGAGGTGATTTGTCATGCAAATAACTGGATTCCCGCAATAATTACATCTTAGGTAACTGCTGGTTAAGAGGCCACAGGTCTAGTTCTGCCCACTGTTTTAATCTGAGGATGGACAAAGCCTTTTCTTCTCGTTGCTTCATCTGTATCATGAAGGGATCGTGCTGTATGATCTCTCAGACGTTTATTCTAGCTCTTGATAGTTCTGTTACCCAGCATTCAGGATTCATGTAGCAAGTTTTGCTTAAAATGGGGCAGCACACTTATGTTGGAGATACATGTTAGATGGATAGCAGTAATTTTCAAGTCTGGATTATGACTTTTCTGTTTGTTTTTTTTTTTTTTTTGTAAGAAAAGCAATGATAGATTTTTGTAGCATTAACAGAAATTAGAAGTTCCCTTTAACTCCCTCCCCAAAATAAGTATAGCATGCATGCGGGCTCTGTGGCGCCTTAAGTGAGGTACTGCTGTGTAGGATCCGATCTAAGACAGGTGCTCGGCCTTGTACATTTCTTTCCTTTGCATCTGGATTTTGGGTCTATAAGTGGTTGCACAAGTGATTATAATAAAATAAACCTCTTTTTTTTTTTTTAGAGAGAAACTTTAGAACTAGGAAGGATGGTAAAGGTCAGCTGTGTTAGTCTCTTCGAAATATGGAAAAATACTGACATGTAAAAATTTTATGACTCAAGGTCAGTTTTTTTGTGCGTGTAAAATGAAAAATAAGTAATCTTTTTTAAAAATATTTATTTATTTCTTTATTTGAAAGGCAGAGTTAGAGACAGTGAGAGCAGGAGCCAGCAAGAGGGGTCTTCCCTCTGCTGGTTCATTCCCTAGCCGCCACAGCGAGAGTTGTGCCAATCGGAATCCAGGAGCCTCCTCCTGGTCTTCCCACTCAGGTGCAAGGGCCCAAGGACATTGGCCATCTTCTGCTTTCCCAGGCCACAGCAGAGAGCTGGATTAAAGTGGAGCAGCTGGGTCTTGAACCAGAGCCCATTTGGGATGTCAGTGCCTCAAGTGGTGGCTTTACCTGCTATGCCACAGAACCACCCACCCCTTTGAAAAAGAAAAAAAAAAAAAAGATTTATTTGAAAGTCAGATTTACAGAGAGAGAGAGGTCTTCCATCTGCTGGTTCACTATCCCAGTGGCCACAACAGACAAGGCTGAGCCAGGCTGAAGCCGGAAGCCTAGAGCTTCATCCTGGCCTTCCATGTGGGTAGCAGGGACCTAAGCACTTCGGCTGTCTTCCATTGCTTTTCCCAGGTCCAGGATAAGTAATTTTGAAAGATCCTGCCAGCCCTCATAAAAATTCAATTCTTTAGAATATTCCGGAAGTTGGGGCTGGCACTTTGGCATAGTAGGTAAAGCTGCCGCCAGCAGTGCCATCATCCCATATTGGCACTGGTTCGAGACCTGGCTGCTCCACTTCTGATCCAGCTCTCTGCTATGGCCTGAGAAAGCAGTAGAAGATGGCCCAAGTCCTTGAGAGACCCAGAAGAAGCCCCTGGCTCCTGACTTCAGATGGGTCCAGCTGCAGCCGTTGAGGCCTTTTGGAAGATGGAAGCCATCTCTCTCTTTGCAACTCTGACTTTCAAGTAGATAAATAAATTTTTTTTTAAATAGTCTGGAAGTCTGTGCTAAGCATTGTGGAAGGCACAAAGTCTGTTGTGTTGGTAACATTGTTCTTGTTGATTGAAGCTGTCTGATTCTTTACACATCAAAGTTGCTTCTTTAGGCAGTCATTCTTAGAATGTTCTTCATTAAATAGTTATCTTGACAGGATTATGTGAACTGGAAGATAACATTTTTTACTTTAATAATAACCTCATGGGGGAAGCAGTGGTCTCTGTGGACTGTTGGGCCTGGGCTATTTGACTTACAGGCATCCTTTGAATTAAGCTCAGAGTACTCCTTGTTTTGAAAGAACTAAGAGTAACTGTTCACAGTGGCATTCGTTTTAGGCAAGAATTTTCTGAACATGGACCTTTTGGGTTTTCTTGATGACTAAAATTGTATCTATTTAAGTATATGTTTAGCAGGACCATGTGAAACAGATCAGCAGCAGACCTTGGGTCTGGGTGACAAACTCACACACGTGACTTGTGCCTTCTTTAAGACACCTTTTGGTCCCATTGTGCTTTTGGCAGTTAATAGTTGTAAGTTCATTGGTTAGGTCACTTGAGTTCTTTTTTTTTTTTTTTTTTTTAAGGTTGATTTATTTATTTGAAACAGTTACACAGAGAGTGAAGGAGAGGCAGAAAGAGATTTTCCATCTGCCGGTTCACTCCCCAAATGGCTGCAATGGCCGGAGCTGTGCCCATCCGAAGTCGGGAACCAGGAACTTCTGGGTCTCTCACGCAGGTGCAGGGGCCCAAGTCCCATCTTCTTCTGCTTTCCCAGGCCATAGCAGAGAACTGGATCGGAAGCAGAGCAGCTGGGACTAGAACTGGCATTCTTATAGGATGCGGGCAGTGTAGGCGGTGGCTTTATCCGCTATGCCACAATGTCGGCCCTCACTTGAGTTCTGAAGGCCTATCATGGCAGCCTGCAAAAAGATGTAAATAAGACTTAATTTTAGCTGTGCCTCTGGTAACAGTGATTGCCCATTTTAAAGTGATGTAAGCAGTATGAAATATATTTTAAGTACTTTGTTAGAATTATACATCATCTAGTTATTAAATTAGCTGTATATGTCTACCAACCAGCAGTTCACTTTTTTTTTTTGAGAGTGAGATTATCTCAAATGGGAGCAATAAACATTCAGATTTTAAGTGAATGCATTTTTTCTGTGTAGCTATGATAGAGAACTTTATGTAGTAAATTATATCACAGATTATCTAAGAAACTTGTGGCATCTTGGAATTCATTTGCATGTGGATTTATTAGATATTTGTTTTTAATTCAGTAAGAAGAAACAATTTTACTATAATGATATTGGTTAAATTGTTTCACTTCTTTGCAAGTTCATAACAGAAATAGTATACCTAGAAGTATAATTATTGTGTTTTATTTCCACTTTGTGCATTTTTTTATTAGTCCCATTTTCTTAGTTTTTACTACCTCCTCTTTCTCTCTGTCTTAGTCTGTTTGGGCTGTTGTAACAAAATTCCATAAACTGAGTGACTTAATAAATAATAAACACTTATTTCTCACAGGTCTGGAGTGTGGGAAGTCCAAGATTAAGATACTGGTAGATTTTACGTAATACTCTGGACAACATGAAAAATAGTCATAAAGTACTTCTGCACCTCAAAGTATAGGTCTTCAGTTGTTTCCATACCAAACTGAAGCTTAGCCCCTCTTTCATAGGAAACCATTTTACTTTAAAGAACTATTGACACATTGACCTTTTAGACTTGAGTATTTTTAGACATTTTCTCAGAAAAAAAAAAAAGAAGTGAGCTTATTGCTTTAAGGAGAACCACTGATAGCATTTATTGCAAAGAATAATACTCACCTCCAGGGTGACAGCTTCCTGTACCCAAGGATGTTTCTGAGGAGAAGAGTGGTGATAGTAAAAGAGTGTACATTTGTTGATATTGTATGATGCAGTGTATTGGCGTTCAGAATATCTATGTGACCACTGATGCAGTATTTTTCAGGTGACTAATGCATGACATTATGGAGGGGTTATGCACCAATAAAGGATTGAGAGTATAAGAGAGACTGGTGGATTTTAATGTAATACTCTGAAAACTTTATTGATATTGTTGAGATTCCATGTGGCAACCAAGCTTTAAGAACCTGCCACTTGTTCAGTTTTAATGCAGTATCCAAGATTATCCATAATTATCCAAAAAAGGGAGTTGTCAGGTAAACTATATCGTTGATAAGAAAATGCTAAGTGCTATGGGACAAAAACATGGAAC